AGGCTCTCTCATGCAACATTTCTGTATCTTTCTTCTGTATTAATATATTTGCCCTTAGTATATATATATAATATCCTTGTTATTTCATTGTTTATACTGTAATCTCATTATTTAATATTATTTTGTCATTAATTAAATATTAAGATTTCTAAGTCATCTTTATTTTTAATTAAATAAATAAACCATACTTATGATGTAAATTTTGCATTAGTACAATTTAATATCTTCTTATAAATGTTATTTACTTTTAGGTAAAATTAGTTTAATACTTTTCGCCCTCCCCCACACCACACACACACATTGATACATATGTATATATAATCTTATTGAAAATCATAGAAATTATTTCTTCTAACACAAGTTAATCCTAAACTTGGTGATGAACTCCCATCTTCACTCGGTTAGAAAGCTCACGTGATTAAAGGTATAGTTCACATCTATGTCGCTACTCATACATCTGTTCGCTTATTGCTTGATCTTTTTTTCCATGCTGACCTCTTTCTCCTCACAGTCTTCTACTCTAGCACATGACGTCGTTTTTTCCACTGGCTCGCTTGCACGAGAACCCTCTTATCTCTATCTCATGCTGATCTTGCTCTTGATTGACATGAGCTCTTGCTCCACTCGCATGCTCCTTCGCATGTTTTTGGTTTCTTTATCACATTTTCTTTGTCTACTATTCCTCTTCTCCCTTTTCACCCGCTTTCGATATTTGCTTGCTTGGGGTTGACTTTGCCTTCTCTTTCTCTTCTTATGATAAGAAACCAACTAATGCTGATTCTTCTAAGTGGGCAATATGTGTTTTAGATTGTTTTTAATTTTAATTTTTGACAATTCGTTACAAAAATGTTAGGTGGTAGAAACACAATTTTTAATTGATAATTAAATCAATCCAAAATATCTTTCAAACAATTGATTAAAGAAACTAAGCAAGTTATGATTATTCTTTAGTGCATATTTTTACTTTTTTTTTTCTATACACGAATTCTCTTTTATAAGTTATTTAAGGGAGCTTTTTTTGAAAATGAATAATAACCAAAAGGTTGAATTATACAACACCTCGATGGATAATTTCAGTTTTATAGTATAACAGTATCATGAATAGAATTGATATGCATGTTGGTGATGATGAGTTAGCATAACTATTCTTTTTTTTCTCAACCTAAGTTAAAAATAATTACATTTATATTCAACTCATAAAAAAGCAAAGATAAATTTATCATTTGGTTACATGACATTAGTGAGAAAATTTTTCATTTTGTAGCATAATTTTCTTTTATAATAAAGTGTACTCATCCCAGAAGTATCATTAAAATAGTTAATATATTCTAAGATATTTTCATTTTCATTGCTTTCAAAAAATTTTATCCATTTTTTCTTACTTTGAGTATTTTAGCATCCTGAGCTTGTACCATAAGAGC